AAAGCAGGCTGTAACAGTGGTGGTGCACACTTTTAATCCTAGCGTTCAGGAAGGCGGAGGCAAGTGGATCACTGTGAGTTCCAAGACAGCCTGGTCTACAAAGTGAGTCTAAGACAGCCAAGGCTACACAGAGAAACCCTGACACAAACAAAACCCAAATCAACCAACCAACCAACCAAATACATAAATAATAAAAAAGCAGGCTGTCAAGAGAAATTAGCCAATTTTTTTTTGTTGTTGTTGTTATTGTTGTTTTGATTGTTTTTGATACAGGTTTTTACTAGTATAAGTCAGCCTGAAATTTACTATGTAGTTGAGGATGAGCTTGAACTCCAGATAGTTGGCCCTCCAAAGGGATCTGCCTTTGGACTGTGTGTCACATCACCCTGTTAGAGACGCATGGTCAGGACCTAAGGACTTCACATAACTGTTAGCTCTGAAGACCTTGAAGGCTAAAACCCTTTTGTGTCCTGTGGCCAGCTCCATTGTCCTGGCTGTGTGTGGGATGACGGTGATGGGGAGCGCATTAAAAGGCTCCAGGTTCAGGGATGGATGGACAGTTCAGATCTCCGTTCGTGTTAGCTGCTACTAAAGTGGGAGCCCCAAAGTCCGAGGATACAGAGTTTTCACCCCCCGCTGCCGGCGCGAGCTGGTGCGGGAGACCGAGCTTCAAATCCGCTCTGCAGGTGGGATGGGCGGGGCCATCGCGGCGGGGGCGGGGCCCTGCGGCGGCTAGGAATGTGAGTCTTCGCCACGTGGCTCCGCCCCCAGCATCCCGCGGGGCGGTGCGCCCCGCTGCAGACGAGCGTCATGGCTGCATGGAGACCGCCCCAGGTTGAGGAGCTGCTGGCCGAGGCCCGCAGGGCCTTCCTGGAGGAGTTCGGAGCCGAGCCGGAGCTGGCAGTGTCGGCGCCCGGCCGCGTCAACCTCATCGGGGAGCACACGGACTACAACCAGGGCCTGGTGCTGCCCATGGTGAGGGGCCGCTTTGGGAGCCTTGTGTGTGCTGGCCCGGCCCGCGATAGGGAAGGGCTGGCGGAGGGAGCGCGAGAGGGCGCGTACCCTCCGGGTGGAAGGCGGAGTGAGGTGGTTCAGATCACGGGAGAGACCCTGGGACGTGCAGTTCTCCACGTGCGAAGACAGGAAGCCGAAACTGGGAGCGGGAGAGTGCGCTTGTCTTCTCACTCAAGCCCGCCCTAAGGGGGCTGTTAATCATCGCCCTCAATTTGGAAGTATGAATCTCCTGAAAGTCTGAGGACCAAAGTAGCAGTATAAGAGATTATTAGGAGCCGGGCGCGGAGTCGAACGCCTGTGATCCCAGTACTCGGGGAGGCAGAGGCAGGCGGATCTGTGTGAGTTTGAGCCCAGCCTGTTTTTACAAAGTGCCTCGAGGACAGCCAAGGCTACACAGAGAAACCTAGTGAGATTTTAATTTTAAAACAAGGAAAAAAGGAAGTTACTTAGTTCCCTGACTTTGGTTGGGCCCACAGCACAGACCTAGCCCTGTGCACTGCCTGTGTCTAAAATGTAGCTCCTTAAAGAGGGATTAGAGCACTTCAGAGACTGTCTCCAGATGGAAGCATGGAGCCCCTCAGGGTTTGTTTTTGCCTCAGATAACTATCTGTCCCCTTTGAACTGCAGCTTGGAGTTGGCTCGGGCAGAGTCCAGGTTTGTGCACTTATTGAAGCTGGCCCCACCCCTAAAAGACCCAGGAGGCTGTGCTCTAAGCCCCCAAGGCTAGCCCTAAACTGAAGATCTTTTTTCACATCGTTTCCTTCAAGCCAAGCCCAGTCCCTTCATGTCTTGGGGTTTGAATCCTACCTGCTCTAATCACTCTGGGGAGACCCAGGCAAGTTCTGGAGCCTCAAAGTACATAAGTTTCCTATCTGCAATGGGATATTCCACCCACCTGCAAGTGTGGTCCACCTCAGTGTGTGCTCAGGCTTTATAGGCTGGGCGTGATGGCCCAGCATTCTGGAGGTCGAGGCAGGTGGGTCTGTTAGTTAGAGGCCAAGCCTGGGCCACATAGAGAGTTCCAGGCCAGCCCGGACTACACAGTGAGACCCTGTCTCCAAAAACTTAGAGCAATCAAACACAAACCAAAAATTAATTTTGTGGCTATAATGTGGCCCTCGATGGACTTACCCTGTCGGCTGGTGTGAGCTACACACACCCTCTCCTTCCAGGCTCTGGAGCTTGTGACCGTGCTGGTTGGCAGCCCCCGCACCGATGGGCTTGTTTCTCTTCTCACCACCTCCAAGGATGCAGACGAACCCCAGCGGCTACAATTCCCCCTGCCCACAGCTCAGCGCTCCTTAGAGCCTGGGATCCCACACTGGGCCAATTATGTCAAAGGAGTGATTCAGCACTACCCAGGTATGGGGCCAGGACTGCTGCCTCCCCACTGCAAAGTCCCTTCATCCAGGGTGGAACATCCCATCTTACCGATAAGGAAACTGAGGCCCTGGAGGTTCTGGAACCTGCCCTAGGTTTCCTTTATGTGGTTAGAGGAGCCAGAATTCAATATTCAGCTTGCTGGTCTCTGGAACCCTAAATCAGGAAGACAAATAGGAAGGTTACCCCAGCAAATTCAGGGGTAGCAGGATGAACGGTGGGTGGACTCCTTGAGCTCAGCTGCTTAGGGAGAAACATGTCCTTCCTGTGTCCACACTCCCCGCATCCCGTCTCACCAGCACCGTTCTTTCCCCTGCAGCTGCCCCCCTCTCTGGCTTCAGTGCAGTGGTGGTCAGCTCAGTGCCCCTGGGGGGTGGGCTTTCCAGCTCAGCTTCTTTGGAAGTGGCCACGTACACCTTCCTTCAGCAGCTCTGCCCAGGTATCATTTCGGCTCCACTTTCCTCCTCAGAGGACTCTGGTCAGAGCCTCTTCCCTTGCTGGGCTTAGGGAGGGTAGGTGGGGTGTCCCTTGGATTGTCATCGGAGCCCTGCTGCTCCAGTGTGGCCACCCCCTATGCCCTCTCCTGGACCCCAGCTTCCCCACCTCACCCTGTGCCGCAGACTCGGGGGCAATAGCTGCCCGGGCCCAGGTGTGTCAGCGGGCAGAGCACAGCTTCGCGGGGGTGCCCTGTGGCATCATGGACCAGCTCATCGCACTGCTGGGGCAGAAAGGCCACGCGCTACTCATTGACTGCAGGTCAGGGCTTCCTCGAATCCCCCACCTCGTAATCAAGAGCTCCCGAGTGAGCGGAATGTGCCAACTGGTCTGGGAAGCAGACCGTTACATCTCCCCCACCCCAACTTCATTCACCCCAGGTCCCTGGAAACAAGCCTGGTGCCACTGTCAGACCCCAAGCTGGCTGTGCTCATCACCAACTCCAATGTCCGCCATTCCCTGGGCTCCAGCGAGTACCCGATTCGGCGGCGCCAGTGTGAAGAAGTGGCCCAGGCTTTGGGCAAGGAGAGCCTTCGAGAGGTTCGGTGGGAGGAGCTTGAGGGTGAGAGACAGCTTGTCATTTTCTGTCCTAGAAACGGTCAGGCTCCCTGCTGGGGTGTCCATATGGCCTGCTGTCCATTCTCTCATCCCCCAAGCCCATTCATTACACTCTGCTCATCCCCCTACCCCCAAATACTACAAACCTAGGGTTCCAACTTCATCAGGGCTACTTGGAAAAAAAAGAATCAGCACTGATTGACACAGACCCCAGACAAGTGCTCTGCCGATGAGCTACATCCCTGCCCTGATTGCTTGCCCTTTCAGGTTGGGTGTGGTGCTGCTCGCCTTGATCGCTGCATTTGGGAGGCAGAGGCAGACTTTCTGCTTTCTGAGTTGGAGAGCAGCCTGGTCTACAGAGTCAGTTCCAGGACAGCCAGGGCTATGTAGAGAAAGAGTACCCTTTCTTGACCTCAAGGCCTGCTCTTTGACCCAGTCATGTTAAAAGCCCCAGATGTTACAGCTGTGCATGGAGCCAGTATGCTGGCTCCCTGTGGGGAATCCTGCATGTCCTTTCCCACAGCGGTCTTCTGTGGACGTTAAGTGATGGAGAGATACAGTTGTGCCATTTTATAGTGAGAAAGACAGCTCTGAGATGGGGGTGGGGGTCCTGCTTCAGAACGAGGCCAGGGATGATCAGCCCATCCTGCCTGACCCCACCTTTACTGAGGAGAGCTCAGGAAGCAGCTGCCCTGATTGGATTCTCTCCCACACCCTGAGGTAAGAGGTGCTATGAGGTGGGGCGGCTGAACACTTTTCCTCCTCAGCCGGCCGGGAGCTGATGAGCAAGGAGGGCTTCCGGAGGGCCCGGCATGTTGTAGGTGAGATCCGGCGAACCGCCCAGGCAGCAGCCGCTCTGAGCCGTGGAGACTACAAGGCCTTTGGACGTCTCATGGTGGAAAGTCACTACTCACTCAGGTGAGGCCTGCTGGATGCCCTGTGCTTCTTGGGCACAGGCGAGTCCCAGCTCTGTCTGTATCCCTCCCTCTTGCTCCTGTATCCTCTGCAGGGATGACTATGAGGTGAGCTGCCCTGAGCTGGACCAATTGGTTGAGGCTGCGCTCTCTGTGCCCGGGGTTTATGGCAGTCGCATGACAGGTGGTGGCTTTGGCGGCTGCACAGTAACATTGCTGGAGGCCTCTGCCGCCCCCCTCGCCATGCATCACATCCAGGTGGGTGATCGCCAGAGCCCGGGAGGGCAGGAGAGGTGGGTACCCAGGTCACCCATTTCTCAGTCCCCCTTCTCCCCTAGGAGCAGTACAGTGGCACAGCCACCTTCTACCTCTCTCAAGCTGCCGATGGAGCCCGGGTGCTGAGCTTGTGAGGCGTCCCTGGACCCGATGGACGCACGGACATAGGACAGAGGCTGTGTGCTGTGGCTCTGCCTCAGGCATCCTCGCTCTGTTATCTGGGTGCTTAATAAACATGTGCCTGTTGCCGTGGTAGCCACCTGCCTCTAGAGGTGGGTACATGCTCTGGGGTCAGGACTGTGGGAGTCATTTCTTCTACCTCAGGCTGACATCTCTCTGGCCCTCAAGAATGGACAGGGCAGCTAAGCATAGCAAAATCTTTTATTAATTGCAGAACAAAGGCTGGGTCCTTGTGCTGGCTCCAGTTCTTTGGTTGCAAGTGGGTTTGGAGCCAGGGCAGGATGTAGTCAGAAAGGCCTTGTGGTACCTCGACCCACTTCATGCTTCCTCGACGGCACCTACCCCTGCTGCCTGACTAGAGGTGCCGGCTCCGTGGGCAGCATTCAGCATGCAGGTGGGTGGAACAGCAGAGGAAGAAGGTGCTAGGAGAGAAGGCAAGGGAGAGCCCCCGGTTCCTGGGGTCTCAGGTTTGGAAGAACTGTTGGTCCACGTGGGTGCTGAGAGATCCGCTAGCAGTCAGTGTCCGGCTCACAAATTCTTGGGTCACATGCCGGGTGAGGGAGCCCCCTGCTTCCAGGCGCTGGGTCCCCACAGTCAGTCCGTCTGCAAGGGAAGCAATCAGACAGGCCCGAGGGAAGGTCCCTGCCCTTGTCTGCACTGGTTCTGTGTTCACAGGGGTCCGCTGCCCTTGGTGACTCACCCATGAAGAAGGGCTCAGTAGTGGTGCTGCTGCTGTACTCGCTTTGCAGCGTGTTCTGGAAAAGGCCAGAGTGGCTGCCCAGCTGTGGGAAGGGACCTAGAACAGGCGGCTCCATCAGTCAGATGGTGCTATGCAAAGGCAAGGCCCAGAGAAGGACTAGGGTGAGGCTGGGACCCCCTACCTCCATCCTGGGACTCGATGGTGATGACGCCCTCGCGCTCAGGCCCGAAGCCCTCCGTTGTCCGCGCCTGCACCTTGAACTTGTAAGGAATGTTCTCACCGAGGCCAGGTACTGTCAACCTGCTCTCAAGGCTGTCTCCGTCCACCCGGAATGTTGTAGCTGGTCCTGCACAGGGAAAGACGCCTTCAGCTCCCATGGCGCCTTTTCCACCCCCTCTGCAACCACCTTACTTCAAGGACAGGTGGTACCTCCTCCTTGGGCCATCTCACAGGTCACCAAGTAGCCAAGGATATCTCCGTTGGGCCTCCGTGGCCGCTCCCAGCTCAGCTGCAGCGAGTCTGGGCTTAGGGCGGTGAACACCAGTGGGCCCGGGGCACTCGGGGTGCTCAAAGTGAAGGCGGAGCCTGGAGGCAGCAGAGGGAGGGTGTCAGCGGGTGAGTAGGAGGTGGGTGGGGAGCTGGAGGGCAGCAGTGGGCAGACAGCTCACCTGGCAGGGGACAGAGAGGGCTCTGCGGGTGCACCTGGGACTCAATGGTGATGACACCCTCTCGCTCCCGGCCCCAGCCCTCCTGGCTCTGGGCCCGCACTCGGAACACATAGGAGTGGTTGGGCAGGAGATCTTCCACCACCACTGAGGTTTGGCCAGGATTAGGGATGTTGAGCCGATACAGCTCACCTAGAAGGTGGAAGGAGAGTAGGAAGCAGGCCGCTTTTACTCCCGCCCCTTGCCTGATCCCTTCCTTCCCATAGGCTTCCATCAATGCCTGGCCGCTTAGCCCAGCCTGCTTGGGTCTTGGATACTGTGTACTGTGGTGGGTTGTTGACTAAAATTCGGAGAGGGCAAGGGGGTGTCATGCCTCAGTGGTAGAGCCTTTACTTTTAAGTCTGGGTTTGAACCCCTACGCTAAAGAAGAAACAGACAAGCATCTGAGGTAAGGAACCTGCCGCCTCACTGTTCCGGCCAAACCCTGTACTCTGCTGACCTCTGTCATGCTCTGTTGAGTGTGTCTGTCCAGGGGTATTCTGTTCCTCAGCTCTCACAAATACCAGCTAAGTTAGCAGAGGCCTTGGGCCTATGTAGCCTCGTTAAGCAAACCCTAGGCAATGGGTAGTAAGGGCCCAGGGAGAAGGGTGAAGCCTCAGAAGACAGTGGCAGTGAAGGATGAGGAGAAACCCTGTGAGATCGGCTGGCTGGGGCGTTCATGCTCAGCAGGCTAGGGTGGGGCGTTACAGCCGGTAATCACTGCGCCTCACCGCCGTTTAGCAGTTGGTACTCCACGCTGTAGCCCAGTAGCACTCTGTCACACTGTGGCTCCTGCCAGCTCACTTTCAGGGATGTCGGCCCCAGGGCGGAGAACACCAGCCGGGTGGGTGTGTCGGGCACACCCGAAGCCCCACGAGAGTCTAGACGTTGAAGGCCACAGTCAGTTCCAGATAGGGTTTGGGGTCTGGGATGAGTCTCGTGTGGCCTCACAGGACCCCGTCCACGATGCTCAGACACATCCCATGAGTCCCCTTGAGCCTGCTCAGCTCCCCAGCCCACTCCCTCTGCAGCTGGCCCTGCCCCTTGTCCAGCTCTTGCTTTCTGTCCCAGGAAGGAGGGCGGGTGTTGTTAGGCTTCAGCACCGATGAGGGCAGGGCAGTGGTTAGCTCCTGTGGGTGGACGGGTACCCAATGCAACGAAGCTAGGGCAGTGTGCATGGGCACAGGCTGTGATGGTGGCTGAGGGCAAATGGAGCATGACGGCCATGAGTGTGGTGAGCATCCCTGGACTACCTGTACAACCCCAGGAGGGCGCTGCTGACTGCCCGGCCAGGATTATAGAGTCTGGCGAACCCCTGGATGCCGGGATACCCTTCATCTGAGCCCGGCTCCAGGACCCTAGGGTCCAGGACAGCGGAAGCCTGCTCCTCCTATTTTCCCAGATAGGAGGGAGGCCTAGGGCAGGACAAAACAGAAGTGAGAAGGGCAGGTGTCTGTGTGTGTGTCTGTGTGTGTGTGTGTGTGTGTGTGTAAGGTTTGCAGTGTGGGTAGTGGGCTGGCAGCTGTCCAGGAGCTGGAGTGTAGGAAGGTCAGTGGGTGAGGCAGGGTTGCTCACCTTGGGAGGAGAGGGAAGTGAGGGTCGAGTAGTCCCTGGGAAGCGTGCCTGAGTGAGAGTGTTCTGTGCGGGTCAGAGAGTGGTAGTCCCGCGTGAGGGTGGAGGACGAGCTCAGCACTCGGTGGGAGAGGTGTGGGCTCAGATGCGTGCCGTAGGCAGCGTTGGCCGCAGTCATTCTGTGGAGGGAGTTGGCGCTGCCTGGATAGGCAGAGTCCATTCGGCCATTCACCAGGTGCTCTGTGTGGGGAGAGAGGTCAGTCAGCGAGGCCTACAACAGATGACAGGCCATATGGGGCTGGCTGTGGCCCTCGGGGTGCACAGAGCAGCCTTAAGAATTACAGCCTGTTTCTCAAACTGCCAGGACCTTGGCTTCCCACAGGCAAACGGGAGACCATACAAGTCTTCCAGGCCTGTCTCCTTGCGCCTTGCCGTCCTCCGCCCGAGCACACTTAGCCCAGCCAGGAGCTTACTCCCCTGCAGTGACTCTGGCCCAAGGTTTGCCTTCAGTTCCTGGAGGTTGCTGCCCTTATCCCCCCCTAGGGAGGGCCCAAGTGCCTCCCGGTGGCGCCCTTTGGTTATCTGCGCGCAGTTATGCAGACCCTGGGCGGGCAGGGCACGCTAGTGGGCAGCTTGACTGAAACTGGGTCCCCCCGAGCTGGCGGGCACGGCCGGGGAGGCGGTCACCTCCCGGGGGCCGGGGCGTAGCCCCGCGGATCCAGCCGCCGCCCTCCCCGTCCGCGCCCCCAGCAAAGCCGCCGTCGTCGTCGGAGCGCCCGCTGCTGGCGGACAGGCGCGGGATGAGCTCCGGGGGCAGCCGCCACGTGACGCGCCGCAGGTCCAGCTCCTCCCCGAGCAGGGGCTCGAACTTCCAGCCGCAGCCTTGGGAACAACGAAGGGCCGCGTTGGCACCGCCGGGACGAGGGGCGGCCCCGGGGAGGGTCAGGAGGAGGAGGCCTGCGGCACTTAGGCGGAGTCCAGGGGTGTGAGTGACCCTTAGGGTGATAAGAAAAACCCTAAACCTGCCCCAGTCTTTCCAGAGATAAACTGTGGTTTTGACCTCTGCTCAGGCACAAGGAAGGTCAGCAGCGGGGGATCTTGAGAAAGCCCTGTGCTGCTGACCGGTGTGAGGTTCCCCCGGCTACTTAACAGCTCCGGGCCTGTTTCCCAGGAAAAGCTGTAGACGCTCTAGGGGGCTAGCAGTATTTAAGCAGGGGTTCCTGATTCTTAGAACAGCAGTTTAGATTCTAGCACCCGGGAGATAGCTTCCTACTTGAGGGCAGCCAGGTCTACAGGTAGCAACTTCAAGGTCAGCCAAGTTGTTACTCCAGTAAGATCCCATCTCAAGTCTCAAATCCTTCCCAGAACCAGGGGTTTAAAAGCCGTTTAGCATGCCGAGCCCCACCCCCTAGTGACAGTGTGCCCACCCTGGCGTTAGACTCAAAAAGGGACCCCTTCCTGGAGGCACTGTGTGATTTTTAATCTCGTTTCACGGATTAGAAAGCCAGTTCGTTCTGAGATGGACAAGCGATTCACCTAAGGTTCTATCTACAGCAGATGCGGAGCAAGCCCTGCTGTAGGGGTCCCAGCTAGGGGCTCTTTTAGTACCACACTGTGGGAATCCGAGGAGAGACGCAGAGCAGAGCCAGCCGGTATGTCTCTACCTTGTCCGCTCCTCCTCCCTTCCCGTCAGGGCTGCTTAAGGCTCTGGGAGGTGGCCTGAGCGTCCTTAGCCAGCACGGCGGGCGCCTTGCGCGTGGCTTGTATATACACGCACCAGCCTGGGACTATCTATCCCTGAAGCACATGTCCACGTATTCTCACACAGGCACACAGATGTTGACGTGTAGCCCACAGCAGTTCTATCCCTTCAAAACCGTGGGCTCTGGATATTTCTGTTCTTGGTCTCCAAGGACCCCACCTTCCTTTGCTGGATCCCACTCACCGGTGTCATCAGAAACGCTGGGCCTCTGGCTGCTGGCTGGGGATCGCAGAACATCGTCGCTATACATGAGGAAGCTTTCGTAGTCCTCCCCACCCTGGGCGTCCACAATGGGGATGTCGGGGATGATGGGGACTGCAGGGCAGAAAGGAAGTGAGCCAGGGCCCTAGCCAGAGCCTCTTGTCCCCCAGCTCCACCCTTGCCCGGCGTCACTCACTGGACATGGGCCGCTTGGGCTGTGTGGCCAGGTTGATGATAGCCTCTCTCTCGGGTCCCCAGCCCGCTCCGTTTCGTGCCTTCACTGTATATCGGTACGGCTGGGATTCTCGCAGATTTTCAATGAGCAGCATCCGGTTCTTAGGATTGTCCACAAGGACCTTCTTCATGGGTCCAATGGGTCCTGGGGGCAAGGACAGTACTTCAGAGGGCTCACCTAGGGTCAGCCTGTTCTAGCTTCATCACTGCCCCTGATGGTGCCAGGGGACATGCAGCTGCCGCCTGCTGAGTCCCTGTGGGACCGGTGTGAGGAAGAAGCATCAGCAGCTTTATCAGGAGGACTCCTTGCTGAGCGGCAGAGTCAGCACTCAATGTGAGCCTCTCCTGATTGGCAAATGTATGCGCACTCAAGGTGGCAACGCACGAGGTCTGCCTGTAGGCCAGATGCTCTCAGGACCACACCTTCCACCCTGTGCTCATGGCCGAGAGACCAGCTCCCAATGCCATGCCAAGGAGTCAAGGCCAGCACTGTCACATCTGTCACAGCAGAAGCCAGCAACCTTCAGTGATGCTTTGGGAGAGCAGAAGGCCAGAGTCCCAGATGTTCTCAATGAGCTGAATTCCAGGCACAGACCAGTGGGGCAGGATGGTGCCTGCTGGATTGGAGGATTCCAGAAACCAGAGAAAGCACAAAAAAGGTAATGCCCCCCCAGTTTCCCAAGATGTTTTGGAAGGTGACAGTTGCAAGGTCTTACATGCACCCTGGGAGGACTGCTTAAGAGGTGACAAGTACAGGGACTAGTGAGGTGTCTCAGGCTGGTAACACAAGCCTGATGGTGTTGCAGGATATTTGATCCCACTGTGAACCCCAAAACTGTGAACTGCAAAGGCCTGCTTCTTTGGTGTGGTTGAGCCCTATCACATACCTTTAATCCAAGAGTTCTCTGTACTCAGAATTTAATAAAGTTGACCCTAGGTCAAGAGGTGGAGCAAGAAACCAGCTGACAGGGATTAAAGAATAGGAAGGACTTGTGAGTTGAGGGGTATTTAAGACAGCGTGGTGACAAAGAAAGAGCTTTTAGGTCAAGCTCTGGCTTTAGCTTAGGCTTCCGCTCCTCAGCTCCCTGGTTTTTTGGACTTTGAGCTAGCAAACCTTTGATCTTTTGTTCTTGAGCTGTCAGTTGATCTAGTGAGCCTTTTGGCTTTTTTCCCATCCAGACCTGAGCTGAGAAGGAAGGTCAGCTGGGTGCTTTCTCCGCCTGTCTTAGCTAGCAGGTTTTTACCCCAGCATCTGGCTCCTGAGTCTTTATTGATAAAATACAATGGTTGGCATTTTCGTTTTTCTAAAAGAACAGGATGCCATCAGTTTGATTCCTGGAATCCACATGGTGGAAAGAGAGAACTGACTCCTGAAATGTGTCCTCTGATGTCCACATGTATGTGTGGCATGCAAGTGCTTGGATTCTTGCACACACACGTGTGTGTGTGTGTGTGTGTGTGTGTGTGTGTGTGTGTATGTGTGTGTTGAGACAGGGTTTCTCTTTATAGCCCTGGCTGTCCTCAAACTCACTCTGTAACCCAGGCTGGCCTGAACTCTGATTCCTGAGTGCTGGATCAAAGACTGCACTACCACAGCCTGGCAATAATATATATATATATATATATATATATATATATATATATATAT